GTTGCTGGTCCACTACAAACTGGTCCATGAGCCGCCAATCTGTCTCCACCTGTCAGTAACATTATAACTCATAATCCCATAAACACGGCAACGGCCACATATTAAGTGATAACGGTTTGCTTCATAACTTACTGCAGCTGTTGAAAGGTACTGAAATAAACGGGCAAATCCCTCGTTCAGCCACGTATAGTCCCACCACTGTAGAGTAACCAAGTTGCCAAACCACATGTGGGCAAGTTCGTGAGCAACGACAAGCGCTGTTGACTTCTTGTTACTCTCTGTGGATATTCCATCATAATACAGCAGTCCCGTTTCCCTGAATATAGATACCATAATTTTTCACAAGACCTGAATTTATGTGATTCCATACAGTTGCAACTCTCAGAACCGAAAAAATAAGACGGCTTAAAAAAAACAGGAGTTGCTTCATAGTATTGAACAAATGAACATTGTAAAGGAAAGGCATTTGTTTAAACTTTTATTATGGCACTTACATGTATACTACATGAAGAAATAAAATAATCTAGTCTCTTTAAGTGCAGTGGAGCAGTAAACATAAAATGATGAAATATATATTCGAAGACATTGTAGATTAAACTGTGAGAATTTCCCAATGGATCTGTTGTATGTACAATTCTGAATGTCTGGGGAAAGAAGGAAGAGGTTCCTTAATACATAACTAGGAATGGTTCTGAATGCTATCCTGAATAAAAATGGGATTCTACAGTGTATGTTCATGCCTTTAGATTGTAGTTTTTAAGATACAGTCAAGAATATTTATAAGGTTTGAGGATCGTATAGGCGAGAGATCAGAGTGTGGTTCTGAATTGTTACACTGCGTTGTTGTCTTGTGAATGTACAGCAACATTTTAAAGAGACGTCATTAGCACAGATGTTAAGTTCAACTCTGAAGATAGAGGCATCATTCGTCTTTGAATACTTTGGTATACGCAAGACTATGAGATGCAGTAACCCAGAACACCACAACCTTAGCATCTTGAATATAATTTGTCATAGTGCACCTTGTTATGTTCTGAAGGATCCTGACCCTAACAGCGTACTGTTAATAGCTGTAGGCTTACTTTTCTGACTGAGAGTTAATAGAATCTAATCATCTTTCAGCTTTTCTATGAAATGTGTTAATAGTTTTTAAATAATTTTAGCAGGTTTTGATTTGTTTCATGATGTCAGTTCGCTTTAATGCATGTCCACATCCCTGGGAGAATTAAAATTTCTCGGCCTGTCTACTCATCTTCATTCATGCGGCATCTCAAAATTGGTATAAGGAATTTTAATTAAATTTGTTATTGGTGAGTTTTATGAAAAATTGTCTGGCCATTTCAATTTTGGTTGATATCGGCCAACGACATGACCTACAAGAGTTTCTGCGCTCTGGATGAATGCCATCACAGAGACAAACAAGAATCAGACTCTGCACATGCCTGGGGAACTCCTTGGGTGGTCAATGTTTACTAGCAAGTATTAAAATATCCTGGGTTTGGTTCCAAACATCATCAACTTCATGTGGGTGGGGTATATGGTAGCATGTGGGGAATTCCCTGGCTGAGAATTTCCCATGCTGATATTTGACCTTTGTGAATGGTATTTTTTTTTTCACTTTCTAGGCATGTTTGCATCCATGGGAATGCCTATTAAAATTCCCCATTGCATCCATCTGTATCCATGTAACAACTAAAAACATTGGAACATATTTTCATGAAATTTAACAGCATTCTCTTCATTGTAAGTTGTGCTACATACCTATATGTAATGAGTCCCCAGTTTTCCATTGCTCCAGCAGCAAAATCAGGCACAGCTACTTGGTCAATCTTGGGAAACTTGTATTCTATACCTGTGTAGTCCTCGTAGTATTCTACCAGTTGTGGCCCAACAATCTGGCTATAAACAGCATTATCAATGGCATTTGGACGAGCCCAAGCTGAGAAGTTATACTTGGCACTATTGCTCAGACTTCTAAAGTCTGACACTATAAATGCCACCAGGTATGTTGACATCACTTCTGTTTCTGCAAATTCGTATTTTGTCCAGCCAAGTTCACTGCAACATTCATATACGATATTAAAATGTATGAATGTGGGTTTAGGTATAAATGCTTGTATCTGGTAAACATTAATATTTTCACATAAAATCATGTTATTAACTTACAGGACATGAAAAAATATTTCATTTAGACTGATTCATGTGTTTAAGTATGAAACATATTGTGATCAGTCAGTAAACGAAGGCCTAAACAGTAATAAGGTTATAGTTACTACATCCATAAATTAAAATCTGTACAAAACTCAATTCATGGTTACAGTACGGTTCAAACATTCTTCGACTTTTCTTAAATGAATCTCGATATTGATTTAAAGCCTTAAATTTAAAATTATATGCAGATATACCTCACAGGATGATTTACATTATGAAGCATTTTATTACTATTTGATTCAAAATACAGAATACAGCTGCAACTTCTAATTAGAAGGTCTTCTTTATGGTATGAATGGTTACAGTAAGATGCTGAGAGGACAATAATTGGAAAAGTATTCAAATTTTCTGGTTATCCTAATTTATTTTTGTGACATTATTTTGCTCACTTTATGTACACTCAGTTGTGACTTTGTCTGTCATTGGGGAAGGTGATTGAATTCATTCCTTTAACAGCATTTATTATTAAAGGAAGTGTGTGATAAAACACACAAGATCATTAAAAGAAACTGTATGCATTTTGTCTTCAAGGAATTACTGCCATATTTACCAAATTGAGTCTGTAATGTGAGCATACAGCTGTATTCTGTATTGCAGGATACATGTTTTCTTTTAAATCATTGAAATTAACAAATTTTACACATATTTCAGCTAGATTACTTGAAGAAGAGCAAATATAATTGGTTCTATTTGGTTTCAGCTGATGCATATGTCATATAAACAAAGTTTAAAACAGTGTATGTATGTGTTCAATGGTCCAGTAGTTGCTTTATTTGGATTATTATTTAAAACTCGGCTTCAGTCCAGCATAACTGCAGTTATTTTAAATCATTTCACTACAAAACAGTATTATATGAACATGATCTTTAAGGTGGAATATGAATGACAGAAGTTAATGAAGTTCATCTTTTCACTTCATGGAGGAAAATCATTCTTGAAAAGTTGACAATTGAGCTACTCAATAAATTCACCACCTTTTACGAAACTTTAAGGTTCATTACCATGTTAAGTGGATACATTATCAACATGGTATGGCACATCCCAAGTATGTGGACAGAGGAGGCCTCCAGATATGCAAGGTATCTGTGAATTTGTTGAATAAACAGCCACAGACACTCAAGAAGGAGGTGCCCTTTAACCTTAGAGGTTCGGCAGAGGGCTAAAACTCATCAGCATGTTATAAAATGTTACACATGGCATTACGTTGGCAGTCCGCACTTGCAACAATTCTTCATTATAGTTTTCGATGCAGTAAAATCCTCTTGCGTGAGCTCCATTTTGACGTGGCCTGTCACCACAGAGGATTTTATTGCATTTAATTGCAGCAAAGGCCTCAAGTCATATATAGTTCTAATGTCTATTAAGAATCCACTACATGCTTCTACCTTACTTGGTCATCCTCAGGTAGTTCTTTTTAAGTGTTTGAAACTAATAGATATGAGTGCTAATTTGTATTCATATTTTCTGTTGTCGACTTCACCATGTAATGCATCGCGTCTTAAGTAACTTACTTATTTTGGTAGAGTGGAATATGTAGATGTAGCAACTGGTGGAAAGCTGTAGCTGAACAAATTATATAGGACTTTGAACATTTGTTTCCTATGACAGATTTTTTAGAAAAGAGACTGATTCAAGAATATTTCTTACTAATGACTGGTAAAGGAAACGTATGTTACAATGATATCTGAATATGGGAAAATATTTTTATAAGACTCATTTTGGAAATGCTTGCTACTATGCAGTTCACAATCCATTGTCGTCTTGTCTGCTGTCTAAAAACATAAAAATTAGAATATACGAAATTATAATGCTATTCGTTCTTTACGTGCATGAAGCCTTTTTCTCACATCAGGGCAAGAACAGAGATTGGGGTTGTTTGAGAACTGGGTGCTTTGGATATTAATTTGATCCAAGACGGAGAAGTGACAGGAGGCTGAAGAAAATTGCATAACGAGGAACTGCATACTTTGTACTCTTAATCAAATACTGTTAGGACGATCAAGTTGAGGAGGATGGCATGCAGCGTGCAGAGTGGAGATAAGAAATGCATTCAAAACTTTGATTATGAAGGCCAAATGAAAGAGATTACTAGGAGTATATTTGAGGATAATATAACGTGGATCACAGTGAAAATGAATTTTAGGGATTCAGTTGCGTCATAATTGGTTTGGGTAGTGAGACATTGTAAAATGGTAATAGACCTTTGCGTTCTACAAGCTGCATGAAATTCCTTGATAGCTTGGTACAAGGTCTCAGCTTCATTCAGTGAGTTACTGGTAGCTGTGTACTCTGTGTGTAATTAAATGAAGAATAATCGCTTTCTCTTACAAGTTTCTTATATGCTCTAATATCAGTTCAGGTTGAATCATTTCCTGTTTCTGCTCAGAGCACAAAAACTGGCAAGTAATACACACAAGTGATAAAAATAGAGTTTTAGCCTTCACATTGCTGAAATTTTTTGCATGTAACTGGAAGCTGGACTTTCATATTTACAAATTAATATGAAGACAGTGCATAAATATCTGGTTCTTCCTCTTCGTCCTGTGGCTCTTCAACCCAGTGTGGGTCATGGCCGCCTCCTTTTGGAGGTTTTCTGTTCTATTTCAAGACATTTGGTAGGGACTTCTCAAACGAGTCATCAGCCCGTCGCAAGGCCTCTACCAAAGACATGGGTGAGAATTTTGCTTATGAAACATCTCGTTCGTGCTTGTAAGGTACTTTTACATGCTGTAAATCTACGACACGGGACCACCAGCTTTACTTCCCTCCGAAGGAAGTCATGCTACAGATTTTTATCACTCTTAAAAATACAATGACCTCAGCCAGGTTAGAACCCACAAACCTTCGGTCCTGTGGCAAGCAACCACTAGACCACCGAGGGCAACATATATATTTTGTTAGGAGTATGAATGATGTAGTTCAGAACATACTCAGATTCTATGAATGCAAGTACAGGCATGTTGCTTAGTGAGTGGTATCCTTGTGGAGTGTCAATGGTGATCTTGAACGTAGCTTTGAACTCAGGCTCGTCAAAGCACGGGAAGCCACTTCTTGCATGTGTTGACTCAAACTGTGTTGCTGCAAGCCACCTGCAAACAGATGAAATGTTAACACTACCTTTTTTCAGTTATTAGGGTTACTATTTTTAAATATTTACTATAATTTGATTTAGCATCATTATCTTGTTCAGTTTATAGAATTGCTGTTTTTAAACTCAGCTAATTCACTGTTTCTTCATTTGATGTTTGGTGGGCTGCTGCAGCGCCAAACTTGAAACTGGTCCAGACATGCCATAGTTATGATAATTTGCATATAAACTGGAATGTGATACTGACTTCATCTGCTGATTCTGTTGGTAACAAAATATGGTTTGACATAAATATTTTCTTTAAATTTCTGTGTTTTAATTTGTATTTATTATTTAACAGTTGTTGACATTTTTACTTAAATTAGGAAACATTTCCATGTAAGTATTTTGCTCAAATTACAGCCAGCACTGACAAGGAAAGTATAAAAAAATTATAAAACCATCCATGATAACATTGATAGTATTCACATTTCGGTAGCCACATCAAATATTGGGTAAGTAACTATTAATCCTGTGAGATTTAAGATACTTAATGCAGTAAGTATGAAGATTACAGCTTTGTAGGATATTGTACCATGCAGTAAAGTAAAGATGTCCCACTACATGCCATGCAGGCACTTGGGGGGAGAGGTGTATAGCTCCTACTCATTCTTGACCTCGGCACTAGATGGGGGTGAGTGGTCAGCACCACGTCCTGGCCACGCTTTACCCGTGGGAAGGGACCCCGGTACCCCTTGGATAGGAGGCTGGGTGGGCCGCAGAATCAGTCTGGACACAAGGGGCTAGAGGAAAAATTCTCTGGTCGTAGAGTCCACAGCCAGTCACTACACTGACTGAGCTATGCTGGCTCATATTGCACCATGTAGTTTTAATTTTTAAAGAAACTGACTATTATTTCAAAGGTTTGCAATTGTGCTGTCTCCATGGATTCACTCTCGAGCATTGGCCAACTTCTACAAGACTACACAGTACAGTATCCTAGAAGGCTGTCATCGTCAACTGTTAATCTTACTTATCCAACTGTGACATGCAAATCCCTGTCCCTGCTCAAGTATATATCTGTATTACACTGAAAATGTCTGACTGCATGTACCTGAGGAAAAATTATGTGGTAGTTTCCAATCATGACCGAAGTCTGCATGATTCAACACGTATTTAAAGCAAACAGTGAATTCTTAGTTTGTGCATTTCTTTATTCTACAATATTGTGTGTAAGATAAGTTAACCTCCGCGTCCCAATGAGTGGTATTTTCACACCAACTTTTGTTTTCCAGACATAGATTCATATGCAACAAATCCAGTGTTGCGCAAAAAGAAAATAATTTGTGTCAATAAATTTATGAGTAAGCAATTTTCTTTTTTTTAAATTTAAGGAGCAGTTTATTCGCAAGACATTTAATGTGATTTAGGCTATCTGTGCATCCAATTTAGCAACTCATGTCACACTTCTTTGCTATATTTCCCACCAGTTACTGTGTCAGTCTGGAGTTGCATTATAGTACACATTATAGGCTTAGACATGGAATATTATCACACATTTTTTATATTTAATTTATCTTATAATTTTGAACAAATAAATGAGTGACATATGAATGGATACTGGTCTCACAGTTGTAATGGTATCATTCCTCCACTTTAAAAACTAAAATTACTTGGGATGTGTCAACACGCCACTTTATTGCTCTGCATATGATTTCAAAGCATGATGGTTAAAATAAATAATTCTGTTAATAGAATAACACTCAACACAGTATAGCAACCACAGAGATGAGAAACAGTGATGGGGCCTTACTGGTGTATTTGATTAAACTGTGATATCATATGAAAATATTCTTATAGTAATTAACTGGTTGGTTGGTTTTTTTATTTCAACTGTGGTACATCTGTTTACAGCTGTGTGTAGGCATATATTTCAAACCATATCCCAGAGTGTATTTTCCACATAATGATGTATAGTGGTACTGTTAAGTAAATGAATATGGTGGATAACACAGATGTATTTCATAAGTAACACATAAGAAAAACAATGAATTTGCAATGTCAATAAACATAATTTGAATGTCACTGAGATATGGCAGAAAAAATTTATAAACAGACTCGCTGCTGTGTGGAGCAAAGTTACGAGAGTCAGAGATATTTGAATGCACAACTGTACAATTATTTTTAGAGAAACTCAATATTTCCTGATTAAGTACACTGTTAGCTTCTCAATGAAGACTCTGCTCCACTGAGGAATTTAAAGCAACTTTACTTCCCATTTCCTTGCAACCTGATAAACACAGACAATGAAAAACATACATTACTTAATTTATTGAAGTTACATGAAATCAATATTTATTCTATAGCATTGATATTGATACATTTTACAGGTATATCCCTTAGGAAGAAAATCCCATTTTTCCACATAATCACCTCCAGTCTCAACTGAATTTTTCCACCTCTTAACAAGTGTTTGTAAAATTCGGGACCTGCATTCCTCACGCAATTTTTCGCCGCTGCCATGAGACTACACTTTTTCCAACTATACTGCGATCGACATCCCCATACACCTTCTGCAATCGCTTGTTTCCCAGTGTTTCGTTCTCACACACCAAGAATTCAATTACAACATGTTGCTTCTGACTGATGTAAACTGCAGCCGCCATTGTAAACGTATGGTATAACAACGCCACTTGCGGAAAGTGAATGAACTAAGCACGAATAGAAGCGGGAAGAATATACCTACAAACTGTGATAAAAGCAAAAATGTTGAATAAAAACAGTTTTTTTAAGTGTGGAGCATTACTTTTGGGGTGACCCTCGTAGTATTATATATATTTACTCTGACTTAGTTATGCTGTCCTAAACTGTTTCTACACAAATTATTGCATCTGCAATTCTGCTATGTGCAGAAGTAATATAATTTATATGAAACTGTAAATATTACCTTATTTCACTACCATTAGTGTATGAACTCCGATAAAATCCATTCATATCTTCTGAAAGAACTCCTGTAAATATTATATGTATGTCATATTCAGTGCCTCTTGTAAAGCCTGTTTCACTGCTTATGGTGAGGAAATGTTTCTCGGGGTTGGTTGTTGTGTTTATGTCCAATGTAGAATTGTTGTTTTCTATAACTGTAATATTTGTGATGGTGTGTCTGTTACTATGTAAGGTAATATTCTGTGTGTCTTCAAGTACTTGTACTTTAATCCTCACAATACCATCAAATGTAAACGATTCAAAAATAGGCTTGAGATAGACATCATACGATACAGGTTTGCTGGTTTTTGGCAGGCGATAGCTGGTGTCTGAATCTACAGCATCTATAGCTCTACTTCTGCCTTCTGGCATCATAGCTGCAACTGTTGTTACAATGAACAGCAATGCACAAACTATATCTGCCCTGGTTCCCATTTCTGTAAAATAATTATGAAAGGCATTAGCATGGGTCCTGGAAGCTCCTCAGTCCAATTTGGAGTGTGAAAATTCACTTTTGTGTTAAGTGAAAAAATCATGTTCTTTGTTCCTTGCACAAAGTGTATAAAATAAAGTGTAATAGGTAGCAATTATCTGTCTGTCAGTTTGCATGTTTAATGAAATTTTATTGTATTTGGTATTGGGTGGAGGAACACAGATTGCAGGCGTTTGAGAATCGAGTGTTGAGGAGTATATTTGGGCCCAGGAGAGAAGATGAAAAGCGTTTTGGAGATAGCTGTCTTCTGGGTTCATTCGCCGTGTAGTCTGTTAGAAGTTTACCTACATTTTAGAGGTCCCTGCTGCCTCTGCCAACAGGGTGATGAACAAGGACCTTGGAAACATTAGTAACCTTCTATCAGACTTCACAGCACAACAATCCAGAAGACAGTCATCTTTGTATTCAGTGCCACGAAAACCTCAAGTCTTATGAAAGGTTATGGTGAGATGAAGAGGTGAAGGAAGAATTTTTGGTGACCATGTGGAAAGGGAAAAGTGGTCACAAAAGGATTTTGGAGGGCACGTGAAGGGAAAAGGAATGATGAGAAAGTTTTAGTGACCATTTGTTTAGAAGAATAGGTGATAAAGAAAGTTTTGATGTGGATGGGAAGGAAGGTTCAGTGGTTTTTTAGTAACTTTGGAGGTGGTTGAGTGGGTGGTTTGGAAGGAAATAGGTGAAGCCGGATGCCAGACAGACTTCGCTTAACTATTGCTTTGCCCGTTTTCCTCCAAGCCTCCCACTGAACCACCTCCAATGTCACTAGACAACGTGTGGTCCCTCCTTTCATTCTATATGAAAACTCTTTTATCACTTATTTTCATGCCAACTGGCCAGGGTAAGAGTTGTTCTCCACTACTTGTCCTACCAATATTGTGGTCTGTAAGAGGGGATGGGAAAAGAAAAGTTACTAAAATCCTTTCATCACCTCTTTTCCTGAGTCATATGCTTGTTATTGACTGGACAGCAGCCTACTCCACTAATGAGATTCATCACCTGTGTCTTATTACCTACTACCTGCTCTATATATGGCTTTCTAAATTGCCTAAGCAATTCACGTTACCCTGAAGATTTAAAAAAAAAAGATACAACTAATCCCTGAAAGCCAAAGTTACACATTGCTGTCAAAGGAGAAAAGTCCAACTTGAGAAGGCAGTGTTTGGACATGGAGAGTGGAGATGCAAGGAAGGGTGATCTGGAGGGAAAACCCGCAAGGTGAGGCACTTTTTGCTAGGGCCGTACTTCACTGAAGAGAAAGGTGCCTAAACACCAGAAAGAAAATTACATTCATTGAGTCACGTAACTAAGCACCGAACATATTTCTTTTCTGAATGTACAGGAAGCGTTTTGCACTTTAATAATTTTGCAAAATATATTCTTCAGCTTCTACATGCTGTTAAAGCAACGAAACATTCTTTGTGATAGCCTCAGTTTCAATTATGCTGGAATCATTTATACTTGCATTTAAAAATATTAAATTTTACATTACATTTTATTAGATACTGATTAAAATTATGATACACACAGACAGTCATTTATTTAATCTTTTATTGCTAATCCTCTATTGTGTCTGTTACAAACGCTTGTTGACTTTTATCATTTAATAGATGTAAAATATGTAAGATAAAAGTAAATTAAGATCACATTACTACTGTCAATGTTGTCTACTTTAAAAGTTAAGAGATGTTTTAACAATGCTATCTGTTTATGATAGTAAGTGGCATATCAAGCTGTGGATTTAGATAGATTAATCTAACACAAGTATGCGATTTCATAATGAGCACATACAGATGAGTATAATTTAATAATTAATTTTCACAAATGTTAATTGTTTAACATAATAATATTAATATGTTACAATAAATCCACTACTATACAGCAGACTATATTTACTTGCAATTACCAACTATGAGGATTGAGTCCTCTTGATTCTGTATGAACTTATCAACATAATAAAAATTATGTGTATTTAGATATCTTTATCAAGGTATTTTAAATGTCTCGTGTTTATCAAAAATAGTTTTGAGGTTGTGTTAGATTGTTGAATAGCATAGTAAGCACGTTTATGAAAAGATAAAAGGCTAGCCATTGAGTTTATATACATGGTTTGTATTCTTTGTATTAGAACTATGTCTACTTGAATTTCTATTATTTACAATGAATTTGAAAATATATATTCCAAGGAAGAGGCAAAATATCTAGTGTCTTAGATAGGCTTTACACAATTTCATATTTTGATACCAGCCACAATTACACTGATTTTCTTTCATAAAGGAAAGATACTTTTACTGTTAGATGAGTTAACCCAAAGAATTATTCCACATTTTATTATCGAGTGAAAGTGGGCCAAGTACATTGATTTCTGTATGTCAATATTGATCGTATGTGACATTTATCTTAATCTAACTATATAACTGCCCTGCTTTAGTTCAGAATAATTTGATCATTATGGTTCTTATAGTTTTGTTGGTTATCAATTTATTGACTATGGAATTTTGTATTTTTTACTTCTCTAAATATTTCCCATTGTATATGGTACTTAATGATATATACGTTTTTATTTTTGCCTTATATAAACTTGGGGCTAACTTGTTCACAATAAACCATTTACTCATATGAAAGAGAACTGAATTCACCATTGTACAGAAATCATAAAAAGAAATTATGTTCTGAAGCTTTCACAGCAACTATGTGCAATGAATTCTTCTTGGGCTACCAGCCATGTCAAGTGGTTTAATGGAGAAAACACCAACGTTTTGAGAACTATCTTCATCCTCGTTCTGAAGACGAGGATGAAGAAGGTCCTGAGGGCGAGGGTTCTTGAAACGTCAGCGTTTTGTCCATTCTGGCAGCTGACATGTATGGTAGCCCCAAAATAATTAATTGTACATCAAATTTTTATTACAAATTATGACACTGGTGTCATGAGAAAGGTTTTTAAACTGCATTTACCATATACTGAAGGGCAAATGGAAGTGGAGTGGGACTGTACTTCAGCTTCTTGTAGACTTAGAAATAGCATACAAGTCAGGAATTATTATGCAGGACTCTCATTTAGATTGGTGTATGAGTGCAACAAGATTGTAGGTTAACAAAACGTGTTTAAATTAAACTTAAGTGATGTTCATGTAGATAAACATTTGCCTGGTATGTTTCACATTCAGAATGATCTGAGACAAGGCGATGATTTATCACCATTACGTTTTTATTTTGTTTTAGCATATGGTTTCATGAATCTCCAATAAACAGACAGAAATTGGAACCAAATGGAATAAATTTGCTAATGGTTCGTGCTTATTGTATTAATTTGCTTAAGGAAAAACATAGAAGGTGCATTTCATGCTGTTATTGTAGAAGTAAATCACACTTCGGGACAGAATCATTGTAGAAATTTAGCTACAAAATAAAGTTTAAAATATATAGAGCTTTAAGTTTATCTTCTGTGTTGTTTGAATCCTCTATCTTACATTAGGGGAAGAATGCAGATTTAGGATGTTTTAGGATAGGATGCTTAGGAGAATATTTGAACTAAAAGGGCTGAAGTAACAGGTGAATAGAGAAGACTGTGTAATGATAATGTAATAATTTGTACTGTCTACTAAATATTATTGTGATTATCAAATCAAGAAGGTTAAATGGGCAGGGCATGTACCATGCATGAGAAGATGAGAAATCTGTAGAAAACATTGACTGTAAAACCTGAAGGGAAGCAACCACTCAGAAGGCCTAGCAGTGCATGGGAGGATAATATTAAAATGTATGTTTGGGAAATAGGTTTTATGTTTGTGGATTGAATTTATTTGGCTCAGGTTAGGGATGGATTGGTGGGCTCTTGTAAACACGGTAACGAAGCTTCAGGTTCCATGTAAAAATATGCCCATTGACTATGCATGATTCAGACCTGTGACCACTGACACACATTTACATTGACATCCTTGACTACTGCAGCTCACTGAATGCATAATTTATAAATAATAATGTCCCAAGGTTGCTAATACTTTGTCTGAATTTCATTGTTTTATTGTGGACATCTCTGCTAGCAATGTACCTTGCTTTACACAAATTAATAGACTTATTTTAAATTAATTCTCTTCTACTGAACACACTTTATTTTATTTGGAATAAGATTGTGATATCTGAGCTGAGTAATTTAACTTTCAAGGATAATATTTTTTTACCAGACTAGTCTACAAAGAAAGTGGATGTAAATTTCTCTGGTTGGGTAGTTACTGTCATATTTCTCATATGTTTCTATATGGAGAGCGATGTATTTAAGTTATTTTTATGGAGATAATTCTTGTGTATTTATTTATTTATTTTTGCATATACGTTACTGTAAAATTTTCTGCCACTGTGATAGAACTTAAAATACGGCAATTACTTCCAGGTGTGTGGAAGTGTGTGAGAGCTATTTCAGCTAACAAATAAAACAAAATTGATATATGACGTACTGCATACTGTGAGTGACTGAATAGCCAAATATTACTGAGTTGCGCAAAGATCAATTAGATTTGATTAACAAAGTTGGGTCCCTTCAAGTAAGGGCACCAGTGAAAAAAAGGGGTGGCTCCAGTTTTTCATGTGCATAAAAAGAAAACCTGGTATATTGCTGGAAGAATGGAGTGCCCCCAAGTCATTACAGTGAAAATAACCATACTGTGTTGTAGTTTTGAGTAAGAATTTGAAATTTTGAACATTTGTCTTTGTGCACCAAAAGTCTGCTGAAAGTGGAACCACGCCCTTTTTTAACTGGATACTACAAATTATTTCTATAAAGTTTAAGACTGAAATCTGAATTTGTTTGTACTTTCACTTACTTGCTGTAACGATGGTTAACGAAGGAGATCACAAGAATACGATTCTTATCTGCTTGTTCTTGTGTATATATCTTGCAGGTCACTATCACCATGCCACTATCTAATCAGTTAGCAATGTATCACTTAATTCTAAACCGTTGCAAAATCCCTGTGTCATCATGAATAAAAAAGAACTGTCTTCTGCTGTCAAATACGTACAGCGACTGACATGATTCGAGGAGCATTCTGAATTTGTCTGTACACACCATGTATTTATCTCAAAATGATATTTACATGGAAGTTCTGTAAGAAGAAGATAAATATTTTGTCACACAGTGCTTGCACACTTTATATCTGTAATTCGAGCTTTTGTTGGTAGATAATTGTGATATGTTCATACGCAATGGTGTCAGGTCGCACAAGGATGAGCAACAGTTCTTAGTTTTTCCTAACGATGAAGGTAATAGTTGTCATGTTCTATTACTAGGTTCCCTACGTGTGATGAAGGAATCATGGCAGCACCGTCAGTTTGGTTAGATTCCATATGCCACATTCAGGGATGTTAAATGTGTAATGATTCTTAATTCTTCAATTATTTATGCAATTTATGTTTTGAAGCAAATATATTATGTTAAGGTATCTTTATGGAGCATCAGCATTCTATTATATTAATGTGGTCTACACAAGATATTGCCACATTGCGTTTCGTCAAATGTGTGCTTCTTAAGAAAATAATAATTATGAATGAACATAGTCTCTTGTCTATATAGATAAAGTTGTTGGTGTTACTGAAATATTCGCTGATGTCTGGAGCTGTCTCTGATGACGGAGATATTCTCTTCTGTTGGTGCAGTACTTAACTCTGGATGGCGAACTTTATGTTGTTAATTATAATTAGTGGTATTATTCTTTCTGTTATACAAAGTGACAGCAGGGTGTTGTAGGTAGCTCTGTAGGTCGTGATATAGTAGGATCCTCATGAGAACTTTATTGTTAGAATAAACCAGGCTTCACTTTTAACAGGTACAGTATTAGCTATTATGTTCGTCAGAATGGATGATCTGCGAATCTGTCAAATTTAATTGAATGAAGTGTACTGAGTCATAGTTATTGAGAGGACATCATTCAGTCATTAGTATGAAATGGATGGTTTGATGCTCTGTCTCTCCCACACATCACGACAACTTGCAAGTTGAATAGAGTTTAGTGTAACTGTATATAATGTACCATAACCCACAGTAATCATGTATATTATTCTGGGAGCCTGTAGCAGTGATAATGTTATTTTATATTAGGAGAATTTTATGTCAGGAGCACAATGAGAAGATCAAAACTAATAATTAATATACAATTAATCATCTACGGTTCTTAGTGGTTATAGCAATTTATTTTGGGTATGTATAATCATACAAAGACACACATGCTTAATACACTGTACAAGATGATATTGATCAAATTTATACAATCAATAATTAAAGTGTAATTATGAAACTGTTTTGAGACCAGTTTACTTCTGTCAAAGTACATGCAACAATATCAACAACACATTCAGTAGTTACCATTTTGATACACATCCCCCCCTTCCATGAGACATTTTTTATTGTGGTTTTTCTTTTGGTACAAATTGCTTCCAATTCTTAAATTTAGGTAATTTACTCTGTTCTTATGTAATCATTTCGTTATCTGCCCAATAATCTCCTTGTCAACTTCTCTCAATGACCTTGTTGAAGTGGGTGAACACTGTCGTTATCAATTTCTATTCAAATTTCGGCACGTGCAAGTTGGAAGAGGTTGTCCTTGTTACATGGAACGTTTACCTGCTTGTCATCTTGTTCTTTTTTGTAAAATATTTTAAGGTGCAGAGTCAGGCCCAAACATAATTCTGGAACATCAGGTAAACAAACGAGATGTTCAGTGTCGCCATACTCAATTCTGTCGAAGATTGAAGCAGCCTCCGTCGAGCGATGCATTCCGTGAGTTGGTCGGAACGAAATTACCTCGAGAGCAACTCCACGTACGAGAAGGTTGGAAGAGTAGGAGGGGGAGGGGGAAACGAGGTTAAGGAAGACAGATAAGGAGCTTGGAAAACGCAAGCCACACACGCTGGGACAAATCTTTCACACGGCTGACTAAAGTCACAGTCCCGGAGTCTTATTCGCGTCAGACAGCCATGATTAAATTAGAGGAGAATTAAGTATTTTAATATCAACGAAAATTTGGGCCTAGAACAGAGGTTCTCAAACTTTTATACTTTGCGCCCCCCTTAAAACATTTCATACATTTCACTCGCCCCTACCAGAACAAGTGCAAGCAAACAGATTTGATATAAAATTTAGCTACGAGTATAAAGCGCTGTAAGACAACTGAACTGCCTCAACCAAGCAAAGGATGTTAAAAATGTTTCTCCATATTTCGTTAAAAAAGTTTTTCATACAAACAAGTAAAATGATAAAATAGAAGATAAACTTTTCGTATTACCAAGGAACAGAGTCTTACGGGGAGGTAAAGTATTTTGAGTAATATTCTCTCACAGCCGCTCCCCTAACATTACCTCTGGTTCCAACAGACTGAAACCTCTCAAGGGGGCATTCATACAGCGTATCCTCAAACTGAATTCCGCCTCTCTTGCGGACGAAATTATTTTAACTATAATATCGCAAAAATCAGGACGAACGTCAGTGGCACATTGGAAAATTATCCATTTGTTGCACAGTGTTCCAAATGCACATTAGACCATTCTTCTTGCCCTCGTTAATCTGTAACTATATATATGTTTGAGAAGACCCAAAATTCTGCTTGGGTATGGTCAGAATATGTTCTGATAGAGGAAATGCCTCATCTCCTGCATTGACAAATGACATAGGTGTGCCATTATCATTTAACATAAATTTGTATTCTTAAATATATTAGAGTCACTAGATGCACCGTAAGCTCCCACATCTGTGCTAATGAAGCAGTAATCTGCGTCCACTAAAGCCATAAGGACCATAGAAAAGAAGTTTTTGTAATTGAAAAATAAGGACCCGCTATCTTCAGGCTTGCACTAGGATGTGCAAGCCTACCATCTACCATCAACTGCGCCTAGGCAGTTTGGGAAATTAGTTCTCTCATAAAAGTCAGTCGCTGTAGTTAGCAAGTCGTTTTCACTTTTCTTTGAGATAAATTTATTTTTCATGCGTTCCCAAATTACTTCACAAGTATCCCGCACAATCTCTCGAATAGTTGTGACACTAAGCAGATATTCATAATGTAACGAATGGAAGCTATTTCCAGTTGCAAGCTAAGCAGATAAAAATATTAGTCATTATCATATAATATCATACTTCTTGTGTTTCTCAATTTATCACCAGACACAGCACACGTCATAAATTAATTTTGTAATTCTCTGCATAAAGGAAATTGGCTCGCCTACGGAGTGGTTTCTTAAGTTCATTCTGCGCACCAGATATAATGCACAAGTACTGGTCATCGCTGTCACTACAAGTCTAGAAACATAAAATATAAATATTTTGGATCGTCAAGGTCAGTGCTGTTCAAACACGCTCATTTGCTATGCGTGCCGTTCTTTGAATGCTCTCCTACTTGACATGGTACGTTCATGAGGGGCAGCAAACACTTAAGTCCACCTGAGATGGAATCAGTGAAACAGTTTGATACCACATATGATAATGAAGCATATTATCCCATTGGATAATCAGTCAGTGAAGCGACTGGCTGGGAGGGTGGAGTTTGACTCCTGGCAGGATCAGGGATCATTATCTCGGTCACCACGTCCTGACCGCATCTTTGGTCCGCACAGATGACGGCAGCTGCCACATGAAACTTCCCTGGTGGTAAAATGGCCACGGCAAGAAGCTTACCGCTCACCTCCTTCAAATGTTGAGATCAAATGATGAGTGGAATTTAAATTGCCTTCACTGCTTGCTGCTTAGATACAGGGGCAACTTGTTAGCAACTTTATTGGCAAATTATATCATTTGACATTGATACTCTTTCTCTGGAAGTGAAAAATGTAATCAGTGTTTTTGTTAATAACCTTGTTTAATTAAACACACACTTTGCATACAATATATACATTAAAATCAAAATATTTTAACAGGCTTCAATAAACTGATTTCCTTTGTATTGGTTGATTTATTAGAGGAGAATCTCTGGAAAACAGCAATAATTAGCTCAATTCCTGTTAATTTAAATATTTAAATATGCCTTCATTGAATGGGAAAAGGTTATTTACATGCCCACAGACAATGATAACCCTGCTCTTGAACTGTATCAACTGATGTTGTGATTTGAATCTTGCATGAATGTTCTTGGGGTGTAAGAAATTAATAGTGCAACTTTCTTGATGTGTTCACGTCCTTGGGGCAGAATAAAATACGCATTCCATCAACAGAAAGTTGAGAAAACCCAACTGAGAAGGAGAATAACATTAGTAATTGGTTTGGGTGGTCATCTGCTTATGTTTACAGAGCCCTCAGTGGACTTTCTCTCAAGAAGTTTGGTTAACGACGTTCATGTGCTGGAATCGTAAGAATTTTATTTGTGAAGGAAATCCACGATATCTGACGTAAATATTTGACTTGCGGTATAATGGAATGAACACATAAACATAAATAAGAGAGATCTCTTGATTTGGAAACAGAGCTACCATAGATTTTGTTATAAAGAAGACTGACTAATTCAATTTGCCTTCATTTTGTATATTTATTTATAAAAATTCTTTCACTTTCTTTGAATACTTATTGTAACAACGATGCCATTTCGCTTTATTATTGTGGAGTAATGCGTCAGTATTTGACTACCAAGCTGCCAATCAGAATGATGACACATACAATGGGATTGAATGACAGGGAACAAGCAGCATCCGTAGTTGATGTTTCTTCAGTAGTTCCAGTAGGAGTCCCTGTTGCAGTTGGAGTAGCACTACTAGTGTCAGGAGTAGTGTCAGTAGTATTGGAAGTAGTAGTGGGAGTAGTAGTGGGAGTAGTAGTTGGAGTAGTAGTTGGAGTAGTAGTGTCAGTAGTAGTGGGAGTAGTAGTGGGAGTAGTAGTGGGAGTAGTAGTGGGAGTAGTAGTGGGAGTAGTAGTGGGAGTAGTAGTGGGAGTAGTAGTGGGAGTAGTAGTGGGAGTAGTAGTGGGAGTAGTAGTGGGAGTAGTAGTGGGAGTAGTAGTGGGAGTAGTAGTGGGAGTAGTAGTGGGAGTAGTAGTGGGAGTAGTAGTGGGAGTAGTAGTTGGAGTAGTAGTGGGAGTAGTAGTGGTATTTTCATCTAGCCATGCCGAAATATCTTCACGGTACTTGCTGAACCACGCAAGGTTTGCCTCCACAGTAGCCAGGGCCGCTGTAGCAGCTGATTGAGCCGGTCCCAGTTCTGCTTGATTGTCATCAACAAATCGACGGAGCTGTAAAACAAGATACGAGTCAAGTTAGAACTTCAGACAAAATAATGCTTCCATTTTGTGACAGCTTGCCAGAAAGTTATGAGAGAAGGTGTGTTGTCACCAGCAGACTTCCAGTAATGCAAATACAGTGAATCAAATTCATTGTGGTCTAAGAGACTTTTATTATTCCCTTTGTGGTTTCCGTTCATCTGTTTTTCCATCATATTTCAGAGTTAGTTAGCTCTTCATATTTGTGAGACCTTGGCTTACTTCTCTACTGAGTAGTCATTCTGACCGAGATTCTCCTTCATTTGCCAGTGTTTCTTTAGGCAAATCCTAAAAACAGGCCATGTAAATTTACACAACCTCAGATTCTTCTCGATTTAATCACCCTGACAATATTGGGGGAGGAGTACAGATTTTTAAGCTCGTCATTATGCAGTTTTCTCCAGACCCCATCGTCTTCTCTCCTAGGCCCAAATATCTCCACAACTTATTCTCAAACACCTGCAATCTGTGTTCCTCCCTCTTATGTCTACACGCTTTGCTACACCCGTCTGTGCATGTATGAATGCTGCATACTTCAATCTTTTGCTCCATCTGACATAACAGAATTAAATGCTCCCTGTCATACTCAATGTAATGGAGAGTAGTGTCGTAAGCATGTTTAAATTAATGGGCCTTTTTGATATTAAGACATTGACTTTAAATGGACTGGAAAGTGTTAATTTTTATCCATAATGAACAAGTTGGATAAACTGCAGACTGGTTGAAACCTAAAAAAATTAAACTTACCACTACATAAAGGTATTTGATGTGCCATTATTTGCATTACAAGTATCAAAAATTGCAACTGTATGAAGATTTTAATATCACTTTATAGTTTCAGATATATTATTCCCAATTCTGATCTCTGCAGAAGTGTTTGTTCTTCCTGATGGGGTTCACTAACTGAAGAGTTTATCCACCGATGTTTTACTATATAGGACTACAGAATTTAATAGACTGTCACCTTCAGGAACTAGACCTAGTGACCTGTTCCAACCAAATGAATAAAATGATAATTGTGTTTGTGTCTTTACCCTGTCAAGTTGCTCATTTGTTGTCAGTCGAGATGCTATTCCAGAGATGATATTGCCAAGAGCATTCATCGATGTGTAGCTGTGAAATAAAAAAATTAAACAAATTCATATCAAGTGTGAATTAATGGTACAGGGAAGGAAGAATTTGTATGCATTTATTGCATGAAGTAAATGCATATCCATCTTCCATTGCCCATGTTTCATTTCCAGAAGTTTTGAATGGATTTTAGTAGAATTTTGTGGTTATGTACTGAAAGTTTTCACATTATCAGCCAGATTCTTGCAACAAACACACAACCACATGCACGCACTCGCATGGACACACACGTGGAAATCTACCAGACTACACGGCGCAACAACCCAGAAGACAGAAATCTTCATACTCACCGCCGTGAAAATCTCAAATCTTACAGAATAAAGCTTAATTTATTTGGTCCTCTGGCTGAGCTAGTCTAAAACCTGGACGAACGCTCTACATGAACTACTTAAAGCACAGCAGTTTTCATGTTCTCCCTAGCAATGTTTTATTAGTTTTGGAATTACTGTTTTATCTAGTCAATTTTGTGAAATACTTTCCTTTTTCTGCAAAGTCGAAGTCAGTGCTCCATGACAGACGACTTGTATGCCCGATACAGTGTTCAGATTGTTTTGCTGAAAAGACTTCTAGACAATGAATATTTGTGAAGGCTGTAACTTACTATAGTTGAATCTGACCAAAATTTTGAGTAAGGAAGTCAAGCGCTATGTCAACTCCTTCGGCTCTGCTGTACACTGAAGAGAAAGCAGTCTGCGAATCTTGCTTTCTGATTCCAGAATCTTCTGTGATGGATAACTCCAGATAACTGAAATAAAAAAGCAGCCATTACCAGGTGCTCAAATGTTCTGTTTTTCATGTATGTGGGAGGAAATCCCACACAGATATCAAGAGTTTTCATTTTCCTACAACACTTGCAGAAAATATGAGGATTAGCAGCAATCACAGTAATATTGCTGGTACCAATATTAGAAATCCACAATAAAATTTAAACAAAAGAGTAATAATAAAAGAAATAGCATAGACCAGAGATGAACATATCCAGGATTGAACAAATGTTTGTTTAATGTTCGGACTATATAGATTGAAGATTCCTCATTGGTCAGATTGATTTATGGAGTTATGTTTCAAATCCACACAGAGATATTCTTAACATACAAATAAAAATTCATAAATATATTATTGTTCATACGTGGCAAGTTTTTAATGAATTAAAATTTTATTCTGCTAGTGAAACTGTGTTCTTATAGCAGCTTTTTAAGCATGCTGTCTTACTTAGTGTAACATTTGTACACACTCTGAGTCACACTCTCAATGTCCCAGGACACGTTATTCAATTCCTGCATTACATCTTCAATATTGTTGTTACTCATATAATTATTTTCTAATAATGAATGATGTGATTTAGGTAAATATATACATAATATATGCTTTCATTATGTTTTTTAAATGTAACATACTCGTTCAACCGTGTACTGTTTCTTGTACATCCAAGTGCAGACAGAATGAGAACCTGATCAGTTGCCACTTTGGAGCTTAAGTATTGGTTCCAAAGAAATTCCCATTCCTCTTCTCCGCCATTACTTAAAGCTGAACAGTATACAACACTTCTGAGGTCTGGTGAAATCCTGTAACAGTAACCACCAGCAATATGATTTCGACACTGGTTTTATTTAACAATTGTTGTTGTTAAAAACCTTGTCCCTGAAAACAACACATAAATTTGTTTCCTTTTCAACAAAGTACCTTTGTCATCCAAGTATTAAATTTACGATACATTTTGTGGCATTTTATTTAATGGCACGTCTTCCTCATAGGTAAATTATAGCCCCCAGCACAGATTCTTAAAAAAGTAATTTTTACAGTATTACCATAGAAACTGTCTTGTTTGAGACTATACGCTTCATAAATTTATTATGAAACACAGAATTATTCAAAGTACAGATATATCTATGACCTTTTGAAAAATTTAAGACACTACTTTATTTATTTTACTGTTCATTTATTGATTCTCTCAGTAGCTCAGACTATATATCATCGAACGATTAATTAATTGAACAGATATCGAAAGGAAGTGGTTGTGGTATAATATAAGGCATTTTGTTACAGGGATTGAACTAAACCATGAAAAAAACTTAAAAAAGCTGGTCTCTGCACAATGATTGGACCTGAGACTTCCCAAATATGAAACAGAAGTGCTAACCACAACTTGTGCTGTTCAGTATATGAATTGTAGCCTGCATTTTCAAAGAACCCTTTTTACAGAGGACACACCAGAATTTAAAGAAAAATGTAATCAAATGTATGAATAGCATGACAGTTTTGCCATATTCACCAGAATATGACTTTTGTCAAGCTAAATACTGGTAACCATGAAATTAAAATAATAGTTATGAGTTATATAAATATCTTAGTTTTATTTAATCATCACAGACATTGATGTCAACATGGTGGACCAAACTTCAACTTCACAAGTTTGAGCATCTGTCACAGAGGCATTGATGACTGTAAGAAATTTGAAAAGTCTGACTTTGGAGTAGACTCCAATGGCATGGCATTTATACCAATTTTCACGAAAATCCTTGGTAATTTTTGAGTTTATATAGTTTCATGGATATCATGAATAATAACATCATCATTCATAATGGAAGATAATGGTAATGACATCATGGAAGATAATCCGCTTAAGTCGGGAGTCTGAACAATCATTAAACAGATATTATCAATTGCAGGAAATAAAAATTATGAGTATTGAGTGGCCTCTAGTGGCACACCCTCCATACTAAATTTTATGAAATTCCATTCAGCCTTACATACAGACAGACAAAGCAAACTTAGCAGATTCTCAACTGGGATTTGAATAGATGTAAGGCAAGACCTCTGAAACGTCAGTAAATTTCTATCAGGTGGTTGAATGCTAAATAAACCATATCTTCTGCCAATGTTTCGAGAACAATCTCTGCTCTCATCCTCAGGGCTACAGATGACCAGATTTGTTATGCAGCCTCCGTGAGGATGATAGCAGAGATTGTTCTCAAAACATTGGCAGAAGAAATAGTTTATTCACCATTCAACCACCTGACGGAGCTTGTAACCCAAGAGTCTTTCATCATATACTTCTTACTTTTAGAAGTTTTTGAAAGTGGTACAAAAATTATATTAATTACTGCTTCTTTTTATGAACTTTTTCAAAAGTGGCATGAAATCAGTCTTTTCTTACTACTTATAATTTCTAATACAATCTGACATATTACAGAATTTTACTTTCATTATTCTTCTAAATCTCATTAGTATTTGGTCTGTTAATATAAAATTTGCACCAGTGATTTCATATTTACGTATGCATGGAGTTAACTTAGTTAGAATAATATTTCATGAAGCTGATAAGATTTCGTTTTATGGCCCTTCTTTAAATGTAGGAAAAGGAATAGAATAGAGTCCTTCAAATACTTCAGTAATTCTTGCTCATTTTAAAATGGAATATATAATTTTGTGAAACTTATAATTCCTGAATTGGGATAATTCTGATTAATTCTAATTAATGGTGTCAGCAGTTTATATAGCTTTTCTAAAGGTAAAAAAAAGTAAAGCTGTCTTCTTATACACCTTATAGGTGTTTGGGGGGGGGGGTGGTATAGCTTCTAATCATTCCTAACCTCAGCATTATATAGGGGTGAGTGACTAGCGTCATGGACTGGCCATACTTTACCCTCCGGAAAGGGCCCTGATACCCATTGGATGGGAGGCTGGGTGGGCCTCAGGGCTGGTCTGTATGCAGAGGGAAGAAGAAAAATCCTCTGTCCCCGTCTGGGATCCAACCCCAGTCGTCCAGCCCGTAGTCAGTCACGGCTCTCATTTTAGTTTTCGTACCCTTATTAACTCCATGTGTATTTAATCTATCCTATGTTGTGAATGGAACATTTTGCATGCTGTGCACTGTGGATGGAACACGTCTTCAAGAAAGCTAACACTGCCTTTTCATTAGTCAGTCAATATATTGATGAAGTTTGGGCTAATCACGTAAGTGGAAAGGTGATATTAAAATGGACTTTAAATAAATAGGGTTGGAGGTTTTAAACTGCATTAATTTGGTTTTGAACGCAGACCAGTGGCTGAACCACGTGAATTTGGTAATAAATCTTCAGGCTTCATAAATCATAAGGAATGATGTAACTAGCTGAGTAGGTATTTGCTTCTCAAGGAGGACTCTGTTCAGTTAGTTCAGGCTGGTCGTAGCAGATGGTAATTATGGTCTCATACTTTCTCATTTTAGATGTAAGAATTTTGTATTGAAATATGTTTGTGTGAAATCTCACACTTAAAACAGAGTGATTATTTTCTACCACACAGCTACTGATATAAATACTTTCACTATAGTGAAGGTGTTAATGGGTGATTAAAGTAAATACAAAAATACTGCTGTATTTAACTTACGTGTTAACACCTTCAGCATTGTCCATCCAGTTTCTAAATAGTGATGAGGCACTGGTGAGGCATTGTTCATGATTAAAGTTACAAGCCCAAGTCAAAGCAGTGACTCGAATGAGCTTTGTTAAATGTTCGTCATCTTCCGGAATTTCAAATCCAACAGTTTCATACAGATTTTCTATCAATTGCAGGACATAACTCTGAAATGAAAAATGAATATTTTTTTCTATTTTCATGTTCTGATTACAGAAAATACATGAAGCTATGGTGTCATTTACACTTAAGTATTTATATTGAATTGTTTTATTTAGTCCCACATAAGCAGTGTTTTGTGACCATCTTGACAAGAAGGGTTGTAAGATTCATATTTTGACATATATGTAACATTGTGTTTTAATATTACACTCTAAGGCTGTATCCTATACTCCAGTTTTCAGTATGTACATGTGTAAATGGAATTCCATGCTAGTTATTTGTTGGTATATTTTTGCTTTGGTCATGACTTCTCTAGATGCATTTGGTATTATGGTAATGAAGGGAGAAAGCAAGATGTTTAGATGGAAAATGTGTGACATTTAGCATAATTAATAGTGTTAGGTGAAGCTGATATCACATATTTAAAGACAGGACCAGGAAATTCCATCATGTCCATAATGAGTGAAGAGCAGATACCAATAAGCTTTTTGAGTATTTTAAACTTTTGCTTTTAAACTTAAATCCCATCTACAAAAATAGAGTTCAGGCTATGAAATCACATGTTTTATGTGGTCCATCCTCCCTGAAGGATGGTCTTCACTTGAGCCAGTCACAGAAATCCCTCATCCACTCTCTCAAAGGACTTACAAAGCGAAGATTTCTGTCTTCTGGGTTGTTGCACTGGTTAGTCTGGTCGATGATTACCAACGTTTCAGAGGTCATACTGCATCCGTCATTAGGCCGATGACTCAGGAAGCATCCCATACAGCACCGCCAGTCCTGCCCAAGCCACTAAGAACTACAATGCCCTTTTCAGGGCAAATCCGGCCCCACCCATCCTCATGTCCACTCTCCTTGTCCCTTCTCATCACGTCCACCCACCTCTCGCATGTCTGGTGATCCACTGGGGGCCCTTATAATGGCCAGGCTGTGGCATCCCCCGCCCCGCTCCTACTGGTTTCCAGGCCCTCGCCCGATTCTGACACCAGTCCCCACTGGTTAGCTTCAAGCTCTTCCTTGACTGTCAGTCTCCTATAACTCTAACCATTTCCACACCCGTGGCTAACTCATTGCCCTGATGTGATGGAGGCAGCAAGGACCTCTGAAACGTTGGTAAACTTCTACCAGGCTACACGGTGCAACAATCCAGAAGACTCACCATGGTGAAATCTTCAAATCCCATTTTGTTTGAACATGTAGAATGATATAAGTAAATAGAAGAGTTGACATAGCAGATTTTCTTTTAATAAAAATTTAAAATACAGGACTCTTCAAAGCTTTAGAAAATTTTAGTCCCAGAAAATCTGAATATATGTTTATCTTCACTAACATTTCCTTAAACCTAGTAGCTAAAGTATAGGCTACTGAATAACAGTGAGCCAACCCTGTCAGCTCTTGTGTCCCGTGAGGTTAACGGGGGCCACCTCGGGACTGGGCGAACGCCGACTGAACTAGGAGTGCCAGATGGATGCCATTATTTTTGCTGTGTCAGCGCGAGATGTGAGGGGGAAGGTTTGGAGGGGCATTTGAATATCTTGTCTGATTCTCGTTAACACAACATTTGCACTCTCTTGGACCACCAGTTGGTTAAAATATTGCTGTTTCTGTATTGCCATATTTCCCCTCAGATTTAGAGGTAGCTGTTTCTTCGTTTACTTGTGTTTGTTTGGCGTTAACATATATATTTTTATTGTTGTTGTTCAGTACTAGGCTCACCAGGGGAGGTAGCCGCCTTATCTTTTGGGGAGAGACTGAGGCCGAGTGAATTTTTTTTTAGAGAGATAGACTGTTTTTTATTTCTTGTAAGAAATTGAAATATCACTTGAGGCAATTATTGTTGTGCCCTTGTTATTTTGGTTTCAAACTTAAGGCCTTGCATGTAAACTCCATAAGTGTATATTTATGCTTGATTCTTTTGAAAGAAATTGATCTTACATTTATATTTACATTCAACGCACATAAGAGGAGCTAATCAAGGGAAGTAATTACACCAAGAACCAAAACCTCAACCCCTTTGACTTTTCTGAAGGGGTGATATTGTTCAACAGGTATCCATATTGCCAATAGTCTGATTACGATACCTTGAATATTTCGAAATCATCAGTTCCGGAAAATCTAGTGTTGAGAAAAGTGAGGGCTCTGAAATAAGATATCCAGGGGATGAAATCAGTTTCCTCAGCCAAGTATGTGGTGATTTCTAGGGCTGTTGAGTAGCTTAGCAAGCCAGCACGGGCCAGATTCAGAGAGTCATCCAAAAGCTGGGCTCTGTTGAGGGGATGGATGCCACTGTATGCTTCTGATCTGAGGTAATCTATCAGTAACTGGTAGTTCTCTTCATCATAAAGCACACGGTAGAATGCTGCAATAACATCAGAATGACAGTTGTATGTGTGAGAATATTGGCAATAGACGAGTAAATATTTATCTCCAATTTACGCCTGAATACATAAGTTATTATATACAACTTGAAAGAAATATGAATTATGGTATAGCCTACACTTTATGAAGATGATCCATGTCACTCATACCTCCATAAATATGAAAGACTCTCATACGACTCTGTAAAGTATCTTCAATTCTGAATATCCTTACTCTGAATGTATTCATCGCAGGGTTTTCAAATGTTTTCCCAATGAAAGACCGACACTGTGATTAACCTGCCAGTTGTTCAGATATCTTGTGCATCTTAGGGGCAGAGGAAGGTAAAGCACTCAGAGGACAGCGTACTTTATAGCCTCTGTAATAAGGAGCTGGCATCTAACCATCACAGTGACAAAACACAAACACTTATGAAAGAATAAGTACAATATTCCTTGCATACTCTTATAAGCTACCATAATTATTTCAATTGGGATGAAGTTTAGGTATATAAAGACAGAGTAGTGAGAAGATGTTCAGGCACCATTTGTTAAAAATTCACATCTTCGTCCCTATAATTGTCTTTATAATGTACCGCTAAGGGAAGCTACATTTAACATTGGTGTGCATACGCTTATAAAATTCTTACTGATCAATGGAAAAGAGGATGAAGAAAACCTATGAAGTCTGCTGTAGTAAAAAGCCATACTACAGATTCTGAGAAGATCTGTGTACACACACATATATAAGTACAGCTGTCCCACTATACACCATGTAGGTGCTTGAGGGGAACAAAGTATAGCTCCTACTCATTCTTAACCTCGACACTAGATGGAGGTGAGTGGTCAGTGTCACGCCCAGGTCGGGCTTTGCCCCTGGGAAGGGACCCCGGTATCCACTGGATAGGAGGCTGGGTGGGCACCGAGCTGGTCTGAACGCAGAGGCTAGAGGAAAATTCCTCTGCCCCATTGGGGATAAATAAAATATTTTTTCAGAGTATACTGGTCTTTGTGACTTGGGTTTTTCATAGTTCTGTATTCACTGCGGAGCATTTTTGGTATCACACCAACTTACAATTATAGTAATTACTGATGTGCAAGAAACTGCTTTCTCTTTCTACAGGTTTAAAGACCTGAAGAAAGAGGCAATAAGTTTCACTGAAACATCAGAAATATTTACCATTCAGCCACAGTTACCCAGAGGACTATAACATTTGCTGGTATAAATTGACACTAAAATTGATTTGTACAAGACTGATAAACTTGCAAGCTGAAATGGTTTAAAATATGAGAGAAAATCTATATTTTATGCTCTTATATTGCTGCCATTTTTGCATTTCAAACAAAACGACTACAACAATAAATGAACCAACTGCATTCATCATTCTTAGTTCCTACATTGAATGCTACTAGGTTTCCATATCATAAGTTAGTGTTGCCATATCATTTATGCATTTGAAATTTTGAAAAAAATAAATGTGATGCAAGTGTAATTTTCACATGGAGTTACATGAAAATCAGCCAGTTACTTCAGAAGTTTCATTGGGAAATGATTGCACACACACACACAATTTCAAACAACATCTGTATGCATCATTATAATCACCACATAATTTTACGCACACAGCTGCAGTGGTTCATAAATTATAGCCATATAACGCTAAAGAAAATTCACATTCCTTAGGGTCACAATGTTACTGTTTTGCATTACTAACAAAATTTATTTTATTTAAATAGATCCATCTCTAAAGTTTGCTCGGCCGACATGTTTTGTATTGTTGATGGAAGGGAAATTAAAGGTCTGTATGTAGGGTAACCTCCAATGTCATGACATTCATGCCGAGTTTCATGAAACTGCTCTTAAACAGGCGCAGCGCTCGCACACAAAGGGATTTTGTATATGTTTAGTTTCATACCTGTTTCTTGTATATTGAGAATGATCCATTCATCTTCTGCAAGTTCAGTTACTATATCGTCTTCTGCCACATTTTTCAGCCATGCTGTTGGTTTAGTTGTGGTGAAGTCAATAGCGTTCTTTTTAGTGTAAGTGATGGGAACCCACCAAGTTGTTGGATCTTCAGTCTCTCCCGTATTTATGAATCTTTTCTGAGAAGAGATAATCATTTAATATTTGAGTTCAGGAGAAGATATGAGAGGAGCAGCAGTATCATTAATTTCAATGTGAAAATAAATAATGGAGACAAGTATTAGTAGACTTAAGCTTAAAAGGGACCTGTACATACACGATGGAACATAGCTCTGAAGAGCTATAAGGCTGTGTATGTCAATAAGAAGGGATGGCACAGCACAGAGGCCCAGACACTTATAAAAGCAATCAAGCATCATGTATCTCGTCAACAACACTTCCAAATAAAGGACTTATGTTAGTGTTCATCTACGCCCTACAGAAAAGAAGTTTTATTTGAAGGTTATGTAATGTATTGGCTTCAGAGATTATGTAGCATTAGATGAGAGGTTGATTCTGTGAAAGACCACATAAGATGACATGAATATTATGATTATGAAAATTGTTAGGCAGGAAGTGAGCAGGGATGTGGAGTCTCACAGCATTTAAAGCCACGGTTAACCTGTGCAAGGAACGGTGCATCACTACAATGCCTTCTCTTATGCAGGGTCTGGGGTTTTAAATATTCTAAAGCACCAGCGTAGCTGTAATGCACTTGGGAGGAAACGATAGTATCAAAGGGATGCAAACTTCTGCTGGATATGTTCCAGTATTAAGACATGAGGGTATTGTAGCAGAGACTTATAAATAGCATACTAAGAGCAAGATAAATAAGGGAGGTTAAAGTGAAATGCCTGTACGTCATTCACAGTGCATGTGTGAAATGCTGTAGCTGTACATCTGTTATTATGAACACCCATGGGAAATTCTGGCTCTTGAGACATGGAAGTTCACACATGCTTTAATTGCGTATTTTAATTTTATTTTTGCAATAAGAGAATTGTTAATCTGGTTCTATAAATATTCCCAGGTCTTTAATAGTGTCGGTAAGTGTTATAGAGGATTGAAAAAGTTTGTAATCAAAGATCAAAGTAGTGGTTTTCCTGGAGAAGGAAATTATTGTAGTTTTACTAATATTGAGTTTCATGAAGTTAGCAGTGCACCAACCTTGAACAGAGTCAATGTCAGTTTGAAGTTGATCGCCGTCATTAGGAGGTTTAATGGCACGAAAATTTTTGATATCATCAGCGAAAAGAAGGCATTTAGAATGATTAATTACTTGGCATATATCATCAATAATGAAGTTGAAAAGTAGAGGACCCAAAACAGATCCCTGTGGAACACCAGAGAGGACCACAAAAGGAGACGAAAGAGTTCCAGAAACGCGAACCTGGGACTGTCTGTTGGTTCAGTAACTACGAAACCAGTGTACGTAACCATCAGAGTGTCCAAAAGCACTGAGCTTGTTGAGTAATAGATTATGAGGGACAAGATCAAATGCACTGCTAAGATCAAAATAAACAGCATCAGCTTGACCCTGGGAGCCAACTATTGGATTAATAAAATCAAGATAGGTTACGAGATTAGTAACTGTAGATTTAGATTTAGTAAAACCATGCTGACAAGGATTTAATTTCGACTTTATGTAATGTGAGATATGATCATAAATAACAAGTTCAAATAATTTGGAAAAAGTATTAAGTATAGAAATGGGTCGGTAGTTAATTAAGACATGAAGGTATTGTAGCAGAGACTTATAAATAGCATACTAAGAGCAAGATAAATAAGGGAGGTTAAAGTGAAATGCCTGTACGTCATTCACAGTGCATGTGTGAAATGCTGTAGCTGTACATCTGTTATTATGAACACCCATGGGAAATTCTGGCTCTTGAGACATGGAAGTTCACACATGCTTTAATTGCGTATTTTAATTTTATTTTTGCAATAAGAGAATTGTTAATCTGGGCTAATACAAGTGGCTAAAGATAATATTTGAATTAAACATTGAGGTTCTAACACAACTATGAAACAAATTTTTATGGTTTTGGTCCTCTGACTGATTTCTCAACATGTACATTGCTTTAACTTCTGCTTAAGTGAAATATGATTAATCAAGTAGGTTCCAGCATAAATTTCAGTTTCTTCCATGCAGATTAATTATTTATAGAGTTCTAAGTAAATAAAAATTGATAGTGACATTATTCAACAGAAGTACATTGAAATGTTGAATTCTCACTGATAAAAACTGCATGAAGTTGGTGCTGTGGTTCAACGTACTCCTCAAATGTGCGTCATACTGGTTTTACAAAGTCATAAGCACAGACTGCCACTAAAGTCGTGCTGACGTTGTTGTTGCTTGTTATTACAAACGTGAATCATAAACAAAGTAAATGCTAGCATTACGTATTATGTATTTAACTTACCTGACTGATGTGAATGCCATTATCTCCTCTTTGCACAGTGATATAAGGATACCCTGCCTGCGTAGTCCATGACTCCAGGATGGTTATGGTATTCAAGTCAGCGTCTGTGAAGACACTATCTACAACTGCTTGTTCATGTAGGTGACGGAATAGGTCATCAGCTGTTGCAGACTGATGTGTCCTGTTAAATTTGCAATAATTTTAGTAAAAGTGTAAGGAATAAAATAGCTTTAACAACTGAAATGAAACTAGTGTTTATACTTCCAATTATCTCCTCTTTCGAGTCTGTAATGCTTGATTTACGGAACATCTTGCGGGAAGAGAACATAATTTTTACTCTCTGGCGTTTCTTTCTTTTTTGTCTTGTGACAAAGTTGGTATTATGATTTGCATGCGATATTGACCCTTTAAAGGAGCACCTAATAATTCCAGTATCTGCCATTCCATGTCAAGTCAACAAGCGGATGCTGCATCACTGTCTTAGAATTTAATGGCACCCGTAGGTCTTTAGCTGTGACTCCTTAAGTAGCAGTACACAAACATCGAGTTTCTCTTATATCACTATTTCACAAGTACCAATTGCTGAAGCATACATAAAAGGAAAATTTCACATATTCTATTTTCACAAAGCTGATACAGTAATAAATCTTGAAAAAGTATTAAATCTTATACATTAAAGTTTAAACAACCTTAAAAGTGAATTAAATTTAATGAAAGTAACAGTGAATACACACGGTCAATAACTGAATAATATTATATGTTCGGTATATGAAGTTTCACTGAAACCAATTAAAGGATTGAGAAGATAAACTAATATTAATTTGTGCCCACATATAAAGTGTTCCTTAAAATGAACC